CTAAGTAAAAAAAAAAAGAAATGGATCAACATAATTTGACATGTAAAACAACAATACATTAAGATAAAATAAAAATATGACAAAAAAAGAATTAAAAGTAGATCTCTTAATCAAGGCATATATATCAAAAATAGCTTCATTCAAGATCACCAATTGTGTTCTCCAGGCATACTGACCAGACAGTATCCGTGTCAAATTAGATGACCGTTTTTTTTAATATTCACAATTGGTAATCGGTTGAGCTTTTTGTTATGTTTTTTTTCCATCATCGCTCTTCTAAACTTGTCACAAGAAATGTGAAATGTGCCCTCTAAATCACACTCTGAAAGCATCACTTTAAACGGAATCTAAGCAACCAACGGTCCTACAAACCATCCGAAGTAATAAGATTAAATAAATCTCAAGAATTATGCCTAATAAGTTAACAAAATCTACTCCATCTCAATATATTTCAACATGGATAGATATCAATATATTTCAACAAGGATAGATATAGCACTGCTATATAGTTTTTCTGAGAAATTTTGTTGGTTGATTTGTTTGCTATTGCCTCCTCAGTGTAGAGTAATATTTTGGGAGGAGAATGGTGAACACTGAATCTTTTTTTTAGTTTTTTTAAGACTTTTATAAATGAAATTGCATATGTTTTGATGCAAAGTTGAAGTTTACAAGTTCTATAAGTTAACATCTATACTTTATTCTGATCAACCAACAGAAACTATGGAATGAAATATATATGAGCATTGTTCATCTGTTTCTGTTATAATTTTTTGTGTACTTGTTCTCCGTATGCATGCACTCATGCAAACCCGAAATTACATGCCAGATAAGATGTTGATAACCAATTTTTTGCTTCTATCAAGCTAGCCAAAGCGGGAGCTCAGTGAGATCTCTCAAACAAAGAAGCCTCCAACCATAATCACCATTTCCCCAAACTGACTAAAAACTTGAACGTGTTCTCTAGCAACATGAAGTATCTGTGGGAAAACTTTGTCATCAATTTAAAATTGACAAATGATGATTGGTTGAGCTCTTTGATAGTTATTTTCCATCATCGCTCTATAGGATAGTTGAATGACATCCCCCAATTAATATCTTATTCGGCATATAACCTCAGTGAATACATATGCATGATAAGCACACATAAAATTCTGAAAGAAACAGATGAATAATACTCGTATATATTTCATTCCACGACTTCTACTGGTTAATCAGAATAAGAATAGTTGTTGCTAACTTATTTATCATGTAAACTTCAATTTTGCATCAAAATATATTCATAATAATTTCATTCCATAAAAACGTATTAAAACTAATAAAAGAAAGCAGTGCTCAACAGTCACCCTCTCAAAATGTTATTCTACACTGAAGAGGAGGCAAATCGAGCAACAATATTTTTAGTAGAAATGTAAAAGAATGCTTATGTATCTATGCAGAACATGCATACCAAAAATTCTGAAATAAACAGATTAACAATGCTCATATATATTTCATTCCATAGCTTCTACTAGTTGATCATGATAGGTGGAGATGCTGACAACTTATCTATCATGCAAACTTCAAATTTGCAACAAAACATATGTAATTTCATTTATAAAAGTCTTAGAAAAACTAAAAAAAGGAAGAATTGCTCAACATTGTTCCCTCAAGATGTTACTCTCAGAAAAACTGCAAAATAGTGCTCATATAGCTATGAAAAAAAAACAAAAAAAAAATCTGAAATAAGCAGATTAACAATGCTCATATGTATTTCATTTCATTGTTTATATTGGTTGATCAGAACAGGTAAAGATGCTGCTAACTAACTAATACAAGCTATGGAATGAAATACATATGAACATTGTTCATCTGTTTTGACTGTTTGATAAAGATGTCATATCGTAAAAGCAGCCTCCCAAATGGGGCCTAAACACTGATAAGGGAAAATTCAATGATTTGTTGGAAGACTAATTTATTTGTCCCATGCTCACTTAGATATAGCATTTACAGGAAACCTTATTAGTAAATTTATGCATAAAGCCATAAACCAAATGATTCTCACCTTAAAGCTACTTATAAAGTTCTGCGTATCCAATCAAATCATGGGAAAGAAATTTTTTACAAAGGCATAAAATGCTAAAACTTGAAGGTTATGGAATGTTCAACCACTTACTAAGCTCTCATGTATATAAATCAAATCTTGGAAAAGGAATTTTTTACAAATGAAATGCTAAAACTTGAAGCTTATGGAACGTCATGTTGAAACTGATTTTGGGTGATCACATGTGTTGATAGAAGTTCAACTTCAAGTCATTGCACATTATCAGGATGAAAACTTGTAACAGGAAATGAAGAAGCCACTCATGGTCTCAAGATCAAGTTTAGAATCTAAATTTAAAGCAATTGCTCATGGAATTTGTGAACTTTTGTAGCTAAAAACACACTTAAAGATCTTGAAATAAAAAGCGAAGAACATCTAAGGTTGTATTATAATAACAAATTTTCAATTACTATTGCCCATAAATCAAATGAACAAACCAAACATGTGGAAGTCGATAGATATTTCTTTAAGAAAAGTTGTAGAGTTTATTGATTTGCGCTATATGTCCCAGCAGGTAGTGAATTTGTGGATGTATTACAAAATGACTTCTCCATGCTACATTCGAAAGTATTTAAGACAAATTGAGAATGATGTATATCTGCCAATCAGTTTAACTGTGAGTGTTGAAGAATGCCAGCCCAAAAAAAGGGAACTGCTTGTTGAACGAAATGGCGGGTGACAACAAGCTGATTAAGGAAACAACAACGATTTCAGCACCAATAAAGGATCACTAGCTGTTGTAAAGAGATCAACAGAGTTATAAATTATCACTCTTGGATTCCAGCAGTTAATGGTGCCAACAATATGCAAAGTTATGAGATAAATTTGGCAGGCCCTGATTGGCAGGGAAATTGGGAAGAATTCCTTGTGGGATGTTTTTGTAACTTTCCTAGAATTTTATATATTTTTAATATAGTCTAGGCAGCTTTATGTATATAAACCCCTTGACTGTATGATAAGCAAGTCAAAATTTTTAGCCATTCCTCTGTTTTCTACGCCATCATTTTCATTAATAACTAATTTTCACATACTCACCTCAAACAACTGGTTTTCATGTTTCAAAACCAAACTATAGATATACAACCCTTCGTTTTTCAATTTACTTGCTTCATAGTGTTGATATAGAGAATGAGTAAGTTTAGGATGTTTGTCAAAAACTCTAAAAAATATCCCAAATTAAGGTTTTGCGTAGCTATTGACTTATTTATTTTTAGTAATTTCACATGATTATAAAATCCTTTTAGAAATACACTTAGCGCTTTGCTAAGTCCCATTTACTAGTGCAGTTTATAATATTATTATAACAATAACCTTCATATGAATATCATTAAGAATATTCTGAGTTCTACTTCGTAGATATGAAAATTGAAATTGTAGGATTTAGGTTAAATTAATCCAATTAAAATAAGATATTATTTTAGGAAAACCATGGTTTATCATCTTAGATTTCTATTTAATTACATGTCTACTCTATTTCTATAAAACCTTAAGCTTGCAACTCTTAATTATTAATTAACTATATAAATTAATTACATATAGATGAAAATTATGAAATGCAGCTATAAAGAAGTAGGTTTTATCTACTCTTAAGACATGAAAGGAAAATGTGAAATTGGTTGGGTAGCTTTGTCTAATGATAGCCTCCTTCACCAACAACAACTCTTTCTAGAATGCAGAGCAAGTGAGATTTCAACGGATAATGAGGAGAGAAGAAGCTATTGTGGTCTTCCTACTGGTGATGCACCACATATGGTACCTCCTCTTTCAATCACTTGTCTCTCTCCCTCTCTTGATCCCCACCTTCTCTCATTTTTTATCTCTCTCGATGGCTCAATCATCTCTCTTTTAATGTGTGTGTGTGCGACTGTCACATCAAAACTCCACTTTTTTTATATTTAAAAATTGAAATAATCTTTTTTATGCATAAGAAAGGTGGTGTATGTGTAAAAATTGAAGTTTAGGTGTTAGGTATGTAAATACTTAGGAATTGAGTGGAATGTGTATGTGTAAATACCTCCATTTTATTTTAAATGTTGGTCACATGCTGTTATTTCTCATAACCATTGGGTTGGCTGGAATGTGTTGGATCCTACGATCTGGACGTGAATAGTGCTGTGACACTGGATTTGCTAGAGAATGTCTAACTGGAAGTTGGAGGGAGGGTTTTTGCATAAGTTAGTGTTTTAGAAGGAGGACGTTGCATGTAACTAATCAAAACTTTTAAGGTGTATGACTAGATATTGTGAGTGCATGGTTTTGGGCTTGGCCAATACCCAGACACATTAATCTTACGATGCTTTGCTGATGTCCCCTTTTAATAAATATTTTCTAGATTTCTCATCTTTTTTTTGGAGTAATCTTTGTGTTACTTTACTCAGAAGCCATATTTAGGATACTTGATTTTGTTTTCAGATGCTAGATATATTCCTACTAGTCGTTGAAGTATAGAGAGTTATACCGGACTATTAGGAAGGAACTCTGCTCAATGTGCTTGAATTTGGAAGTATTACATACCACTTAATTCTTATATATTTACATATCTAACATGTAAACTTCAATCTTTTACATATATGCCACCTTACTTATATATGCCACCTTACTTGTTGCATGTAAAGGTGTATTTCACTTTTTAAATGTTAAAATGGTGGTCTTTTTTATATAATATGAAAAAATTGGGTGGTATAGATGTAAAAAGATAAGATTAGGTGTTAGATATGTAAATACTTTCGAATTGCATGATATGTATGTATATGCCCCTTGAATTTTTAATTGGTATCATCTATCATATTCTTTATTCAGGATAGGGATACCAATTTTTCGCACTTTTGTTAAATCATGAATCCATGTGGTTTTTGTTTTATGAGATTGATATACTTTACAAATATGCCCTGCTCAAATGACTTTCCTGTAATTGTTGCAGTGGCTGCAGTATTTTCTCTAGCCCATAAGCTCCAGCCTTCCATTATTTTCATTGATGAAGTGGACAGCTTCTTGGGACAGCGTCGAACTACCGATCATGAAGCCATGACTAATATGAAGACTGAATTCATGTCTTTATGGGATGGTTTTACTACCGATCGTGAGTACTCAGACAATTTTTTCTCCATTTGTCATATATGTCATCTATATTTAAGATTGCTTCTCTGATTGCAAATTGATATAATTTGATTTGGTTGAATTACTAAAGCAATGAATTCACGAAATTTTTTAGTAAATTTTCAAACAACTGCAGCAAATTTAGCATGCATCAGAAGTTTATATTCAATGCTTAAAAATTGAGGGGCATTTACATACATACCCTTCAATTTCTGTGTATTTACATATCTAACTCATGAACTTTGCTTTTTACATTTATGCCACCGAGATCTTTCATATCACATTAAAATTATCACCATTTTGACTTTTAAAACATGAAACACATTTTCTAGCATACATAAGATGTTATGCATGTAAAAATTGAAGTTTGGGTTTTAGATATGAATTGGGTAGTATGAGGTGAGGTTTGTAAATTTTTCAAAAAAAATTAGTATTAGGTGAAGCAAAGGCTCAAAGAGTCGAACCAAAATTATAACGTTTACTGATCATTATCATCGTAAGAAACTGTTTAACATAGATTCTACCCAACAATCATTGGTACTCTACGGGCAAATAGACCAAGTTACTTGTTAGAAAGAGTGAGAAGAAAAAAGAAGAAAGAGTCCGTCTTTGTATTCCTGTTTCATTACAGTTTTAAGGTGTTGTGAGGAAAAGTTCGTCTCCTTTGCTATCCTCTCTTGAGTTATTGTCACCCTTAATTTATCAGGGCATTTACATACATACCATACAATTCTTATAGATTTACATATGTAATTTCAAAAATTTAATTAATATTTACATGCATACCACTCAAATCTTTGACATCACATAAAAATTATCACTATTTCTAACTTTTTGAAATTGAAATGCACCTTTTCATGCATAGATTCATATCACCGAAGTGTTATAAATGTATATATCAAACGGTAGGTGTTAGATATGTAAATGCATAAAAATTATATGGTATGTATGTAAAGTACCCTAATTTATTTTTCTAGTTTGTTTTCGCATCAAGTTTTAAATGTGTTTTCCAAAGGTGACCAAGAAAACACACTCCTATTAAAAACCATAGAAAATGGAAGACCATTAATACATGCAACCTCATGAAAGAATAATCTTATAATTTGAGAAGTATCAAAACAAGTCACTCCGGTACTTCTTAGGCCCTGGAAGTTGCTCAATCATCTCGAGGCATTTGTCTCTCCCAGCACAAATATGTGTTTGATCTATTGATATAGAATAGTCTTCTTCTTTGCAAACTAGTGGCGGTCCCAATGGATCTTAATGAGAAATTAGCTGATGTTCCCAATGTGGTTCCGGTGAACAAGATTCGCTACCAACGGCTTGTGCGGAAACTTATTTACCTCATCCATACTCACCTCGACAATTATCTAAGCAGTAGGTGCAGTAGGTATTGTGAGTCAATTCATGCATGATCCCTATGAGCATCATCTACGAGTTGTCCACAAGATCTTTCACTACTTAGATGGCACACTGAGGCTATGTTTGTTTTTCTCGAGCCACACCTCTCGTTCCATTGTTGTTTATACAGATGTGGATTGAGTCGGGTTTATCCATGATCGGTGATCCACCTCAGGATATTGCTCATTTGTGTGGTGAAATCTTGTTACGTGGAAAAGCAAAAAACAATCGGTTGTGGCCTGGAGCAGTGCTGAAGCCGAGTTTCGCTCCATGTCCCTGGGTATTTGTGAAGCTCTTTGGTTACGCATCATGCTCAGTGAATTTCCCATGTCAGTCTGTGCTCCTCTCCAGCTGTTCTGTGATAATAAACTTGCTATTAGTATTGCCCATAATCCGATCCAGCATGATCGGACCAGCATGTGGAGATTGACATGCACTTCATTAAAGAGAAGCTCAATTCAGAGGAGTATTTCATTTGTCTCATCCAATGGTCAATTAACAACTATCCTTACCAAGAATCTTCCTTGGCCATTGGTTGACGACTTTAAATCCTTGTTGAACATGATTGGCATATATGCTTGAACTTGAGGGGGAGTATTAGATTTATTAACCTAATTATTAGGCTAATTACTATTGCAACTATTATTAGCTTTTATTTGCTTTCTTTATGTTTCGTTTCCATATTTATGCATTTCCGTGTTGGTCTATTTCTGATTTTATACCTTTCCATTTATCACAGACTTGTAATATGTATTTATATTGTCCTTTTCTATGAATAAAATTATCTTGCTATATTTTCAAAACTCAAAGAACTAACGAAGCTGCAGGCATGCTATAACATTGTTCCATGGTTTACCAAGCTAGCTAGTAAAACTCTAAGAGAGCATACAAAATCATAGAATTTCATAGTGAAACAAGTAGAAAGGAACGGATACCAAATGTAATGGGGGGGAAGATGTATTCTTGGCACTAACCAAGTGGGGGAGGGATAGAGAGGAATTAGTGGTACCAAACTTTGGTGAGTTGTCCAAATATAGTACTTCTCATTCATTATTAACCATTACATATATATTTTCCCACGAATATATAAAGAGGAAAATGTTTAATTGTATCCATGACACTACGAGATAAAGTCAGATAATAAAAAGTAGTCGAATTACCTAAATACCTATTTTAAAAACGAGGAATATACTTTTTAAAGTTCAAAATAATCACCTATTAATTCTTTTGAAATAGTAATAAATTTTCAAATTATATCACGTCATCCTAAGTTCATTAGATTTTCTTAAGAAAGTATAGTGAAACAACTTGAGTTTATAGAATGCATAGCATGAGGATTATCTCATCTTTACTAGTATAAATTTCATCTTCGACATCATCATTGCTTTATTCTATTCCACTGAATTTGTATCCTTCCATTAATTCTTTTTTTACATATTTAAAAAAAAAAATCAAAGAACTCATATTTGTTATTTGAAATATTAGCACTTATCTTGTAATCAAAGTGCGGTCCTTGAACCGCAGTGTGCATTTTAAAGAAAATTGACTTTCTTGTCATGTCTTAATGAAGCTGCCTGCCGAGATGATGTTTAAATTGATTTTCTTGTCATGTCTTAATGAAGATGCCTGCCGTGATGATGTTTGACGCACAATAGTTGCTTTAAGCGTCTAGGAAAGCTTGTGAATTGTCTTTAATATTAATTGGTAACAGTAGTCAGAAAATGAAAGAAAAATAATTGTGATAGGATTTGCAAAGTACATTGATGTAGAAAAATATGTTCTTTAAGTTTGGAAATGTAAAAACCTTAATTTGACTGTTGCAAAAAAAATTTCTTTTTTTTCATTAGCTCACCCATGTCTTTGGCTTTGAAATCAGGACTTTGTTGTTAAAAAATAAAACTCTCAATCATTAGGCTGAATGAGATGCACATCATTTGTCCCAACAACCTCAAAGCCCCTGCTTGGTAACTGTTGACAAACAGGAAGTTGATTCATGCATATCAATTAATTTGGGAAAATTTACATGCATACCACATAATTCTTATGTATTTGCATATCCAACACTGAAAGTTTGATATTTTCACTCACAACACCTTGGTGTCATGAACATATACATGAAATGGTGTACTTCACTTTTAAAATGATATTGATGGTGTTATTTTTAATGTGATGTTAAAGTTTTGAGTGTCATGCATGTGAATATGAATGTTTAGGTGTTAGATATGTAAATACATAAGAATTGTGCGTTATGTATGGAAATGCCCTATTAATTTTTTATCATCCACTACTCTGGATTTTTTTTTCACTACAGTAAGTGACCAAAAACCAGGAATAACTGCTTTGAATTCTTGTAATTATAATAAAAATGATGAAAATATATTAATGGTTATTGAAAATAATATAGCAATTTATAAGCTTACACCAATCTTCTAGGAGGGTGTATGGCTATAAGGCGAGGCATTTGGGGTAATTATATAAATGGATTTAAGCCACCATGAGATGATCCTTTTAACTTTTATATGAGTAAAGACTTCAACTGTTATTATTTTAATAATCTTCTACATGTTTATCCATCTTTTTATTGTACTTGCCAAATTTAATATTGAATAAAAAGATTATTGATGATCTTCATAACAGAGAATGCACGTGTGATGGTTCTAGCAGCCACAAACAGGCCAAATGAGCTTGATGAGGCGATATTAAGGCGATTTCCTCAGGCATTCGAAATCGGCATACCGGACCGTAGTGAGAGATCTAAGATTCTAAAGGTTATTTTGAAGGGTGAAAATATCGAAGAAAACATCGACTACGATTATATAGCATACCATTGCGAAGGATTTACAGGGTCGGATATTTTTGAGCTCTGTAAGAAAGCGGCCTATGTTCCGGTTAGAGAGTTATTGAAAGCTGAGAAGAATGGAGAATACCCCAATGTAAGGATGCATATATTTCATCTCTTTAGATGTGGTTTACTTTTTAATTTTTTTCCTTTTTGAAGATTTGATGATGATTTTTTATTTATTTACCCATTTGATTTTAGTTTTTAGGGGCATTGACATTGATACCACCCAATTCCTATCTATTTGCATATCATACAGCCAAACTTTAATTTACATATATATGGTCCAAATTTTTCGTATCACATAAAAAAATTCCACCATTTTAACTTTTAAAATATGAAATACACATTTTTCATGCATAGACAAGGTGGCATATATGTAAAAATTGAAGCTTAGATGTTAGATATGTAAATACATAGCAATTGAGTGTCATGTATGTAAATCTTCCTTGTTTTTTTCTTCTCTCAATTTTTCGTAGTAATTAGAACTTGTAGGTTAACCTTTGATTTCAATCAGAATTCTCTTAGTCAATTTTCGCTTTGGATTTGTGGAAAAAACATGGAGCAAATGTAAGTAGTTGTGCGAGCTCAATTTGTAGGATTTCTTTGTGTGCAACTCACTTGTCCTGGTGGTTGGGTGCCTTATCTGGAACCGTAAAGGCTTGAATTCAAAGCCTAGCATATGTGTCTGTAGGGGTGTAAGTGAGTTGACCTTGCTCAAGCTCGAGTCGTCGGCGATGTCTCAAGTCGAACTTATTAAGCTATTAGCTCGAACTTAAGCTCATTATTAAACAAGCTAGAGTTCAAGTTTGTCTATGTTTTTTCTCGTCGTCTCATGAGCCAATTCAACTAGCTGATCGATGGTCATGTCAATGCCTTCTCTGGCGAGTAGCCACTTCTCATTCTTCTCCAGCCATTAAGTCGTTCTCTGGTGTGCTATCATGATAATTTAATATCCAGCTTGAGCTCATGAGCCGTCTCGCAAGCTTGCGGTCATCATTGCAAGCCGAGCATTTGAGCTCGTCATTCGTGCTCGAGATAGGCATGACTCGAGCTCGACCCGACTTTGTTTATTAACATTTAACATTTTAACTTTTAAAAAGTGAAATACACCATTCATGTAAAAAAATTTAAGTTTAGGTATTAGATATATAAATACATAAAAATCGAGTGTTATGTGTAAATCTTCCCAAAAGTAAAATCTCATTGAAAAAAAATCACTTCTCATTTCATATGCCTTGAACATTTTATACTCTTCTCTATATAGGGTCCAAGGCCATTGAAGCAGTCGGACCTGGAGAAAGCACTATCATCCTTCAGAAAAGCAAGAAGATCAACGGTCGGATATCAATCTCCTCTTTGGGTCCCACCAACAAATCCTGTTGATGATCAGGTCCAGCATGCAATTTCCGAAATCTCAGAGCTAATGTCTCAAATCATGAACAGCCAATCTGAAGCTCGCAATTCATAGGTGTCTTTTCTACAGGGATGATAGTGTTGAGCTTGTGGGACTCAATTTTGATTAGTATTTATTTTAAAATTTGATAAATGATATTTATATTATATTTAGGTATATGGAGTTTTGTGATTTGATTTTTCTGATAATGTAAATATATTAAGTTATTTGCTATTAATTTTTTTATTAAAAAGTAAAATCTTAGTACATTTATATGTAATAAGTGCAAATTCGTTTTAGACTGATTTTTTAATATATATA